AAAATGGCAACCAAAAGGAGAGTCAAAAGGAAAAAGTAGTGGAAAAAAACAGCTAGATTATAAGGCGGTGTAGAAAACTAAAAACATGTACATGTCTGCATTGGTTCTTGCCAAGAACTTAACATATGTTTAAAGCCACTTAGAGAGGTCAAGGTCGAGAGTTTCAGATCTTTTTGTAAGATATTCCAGGAAGCAGGAGTGGAGTAAGAGAAGGCCCTTTTGCCAAGTTCAGTCCGCACTGAAGGAACACTGCAGATAATAATGTCCTGAGAGCGCACGCTGTAGCTGCACTCATGCAGAGACATGTAGGAGATGTATGAAGGCAACAGACCAAGAAGTGATTTAAAGATGAAAATGTACCAGTGGGAGAGTCTGTGTGAAGTTAATGATGTCCAGTTAACCAGTGAATACAGGGTGCAATGATGGGTACGGTAGTTACAGCCAGTTATGAATCTTAGTGCACCAAGATAGACAGCATCCAACATCTGCAGGGTTCTTGTAGGAGCGTTCATGTAAATAATGTCACCGTAGTCAATGGAGGGAAGGAAAGTCGCAGTTACAAGGCGTTTCCTAGCATAGTTAGACAGGATATATTTCTGAAAAAGAAAGCCAGTTTAACTTTCAGTTTCTTTACTAGGTTTTTCACGTGGAGCTTAAAAGAGAGATGTGAGTCGACCAAGATACCCAAATATTCATAGGAACTGACAAACTCTATAGGGACACAATTTCAGGACCAAATCAGAGGAAGAACTGCTGGGACCAACTTCCTGTTTGAACAAGTAAGTAAGTAAGTAAACTTTATTTATATAGCACTTATCATAGATACAATCACAAAGTGCTGTACAACAATAATAAATAAAGGATTAAAATAAAACAAAAATAATAACAGCTCATTAATAAAAACAGTAAAACATTTAACTAAAAGCTTGTCGAAATAAAAATGTCTGAAGCTGCGTTTTAAAAGAATCAACAGAGACGGTCACACGAAGAGACAGGGGCAGGGCATTCCACAGCCGGGGGGCTACGGCCTGAAAGGACTGGTCACCCCGAGTTTTAAACCGGGTCTTAGGAACCTTAAGAAGGTTCAACGCTAAAGACCGAAGGGTGCGGGCTGAAGAATAAGGAATCAACATTTCAGTGATGTACTGGGGGGCCTGTCCATTTAAAGCTATAAAAGTCAAAACTAAGATTTTAAAATAAATTCTAAATTCAACAGGCAGCCAATGAAGAGAAGATAAAACTGGTGTAATGTGAGCCCTTCTATTAGTCCCTGTTAAAAGCCTTGCAGCAGAGTTCTGGACCAACTGGAGACGAGCAATGGCATTTTTGTCAAAACAAGTAAAAAGGGAATTACGATAATCTAAATGAGAAGAAATAAAAGCATGAATAATCATCTCCAAGTCAGATCTGGATAACATTGCCCTCAGTTTGAAAATGTTTCTCAGATGATAAAAGCAGTTTTTTTACCAGAAGCTTTGAATGTTTGTCCAAAGACATGGACTGGTCGAACAGAACACCGAGGTTTCTGAGGTTCGGCTGAGAAGAGGAGCCCAGAGAACCGAGGTGTTGCTTGATCCAAGAAACTTTCTGTTCAGGGGCAATGATCAGGGTTTCCGTCTTGTTAGAATTCAACTGAAGGCAGTTGTTAGCTAACCACGCCTTAATATGGGAAACACAGTTTACTAATTCAGCTAACTTATGTAATTCTGAGTCATAGAAAGAATAGTACAGTTGAATAGCATCAGCATAGAGATGATAAGACACATTTCTGAAGCTACTGATAATCTTTCCCAGAGGAGTGATGTATAAAAGGAACAGAATAGGACCCAAGACTGAACCCTGAGGAACACCATACAGTAACGGAGTGGTCTTAGACTGTGTGTTATTAACAAACATTGAAAAGGTTCTGTTGCTCAGATAAGAGGAAAACCACTTAAGAACAGTTCCAGAAAATCCCATCTCATGTTGCAGTCGATGTATCATAATTTTGTGGCCGACTGTGTCAAAAGCTGATGATAGATCCAATAAAATCAAAACACTGCTCTGACCAGAGTCTGCAGTCATCAATATGTCATTGGAGACTTTTCATAAGGCAGTTTCGGTGGAGTGCATCTTGCGGAAACCAGACTGAAACTTATCGAGAATATTATTATTTTGCAAGAAAGTAGTCATCTGCCCAGCCACTAACTTCTCCAGAATTTTGGTGAGAAAAGGCAGTTTTGATATTGGCCTGTAGTTGCAGAGCTCAGTGGGGTCAAAGATGGGCTTTTTCAAGATCGGATTTAAAATTGTTTGTTTCAAAAAACTTGGAACTGACCTGGTTGAAAGAGAGATGTTAATTAATTCTGCCACATGGGGGCTGACAATATCAGACACCTTTAAAAACAGTGATGTGGGTACAACATCTAGCACGCAGGAAGAAGGTTTGATCTTTTTTAGAACAACCTTCACATCCTCTAAAGTGACAGGTGAAAATGAAGACCAGGGGCTCACTGTAGGGACAGAACTGGGGGTGACACCAAGAGCTGATTTAACACTTGCCCTGATATTGTCAACCTTTTCCACAAAATAGTTTAAAAATCTATTGCAGTCATCTAATGTGAATACAGGCACCAGAGGGAGTGAAGGTGAAACCATATTATTAATGATATCAAACAAGACTTTTGGATTTTTCTTGGTCATACTCACAAGATTAGAAAAATACAAAGCATCCTTTTGTTTTTTTCGGCATTTAGGACAATTTTGAGATGGAACAAATCTGACTGGATGATGTCAAAGGCGAATTGCAAAAGCTGGAAAGCCTTAGCAACTATTTTAGCTTGACAATAAATAACTGTGTCATCAGCATAGAATTGTAAGGATACATCGAGGATGCTCTGACCTACATTACCTATGTAGATTATAAAGAGGGTGGGTCCTAAGACTGAGCCTTGTGGTACACCATTGCTGACTGTTAAATAACTTGAGGAAATACTATTCATTCAACCTTTATTTAGACAGGTAAATCCCATTGAACCTCGAGGACTCTGAACATATTGCCTCAGATCTGAAAGATAATTAGAGAACCAACCAATGGTATGATCTGAGAAACCAATTTCTGAGAGTTTATGACACAAGATGTTATGATCCACAGTGTCAAAAGCTTTAGACAGGTCTAAGAAAAGTGCAGCACAATAATCCTTAGCATCCAGTGCTTCAACAACTTCATTAAGAAACTTCAGTGAAGCAGTGGTTGTGCTGTGTTGTTTCCTGAAACGAGATTGAAGGCGAGGTAAGATGTGAAGAGTCCAAATATTTTTTGATTTGAGAGTTTATCAGTTTTTATAGAACCTTGGCTAAAATGCAGAGTTTAGAGATTGGTCGATAGTTGTTCAGTGAGGTGGGGTCACATCCCTTCAGTAAAGGTAGAACAAAGACTGTTTTCCAAGCGTCTGGAATGGAGTTTTGTCTTATGGAGAGATTAAAGATGTGGGACACCAGTACTGCGATGATAGGAACGGGCAGCCTTAAGAAATAAGGTGGAAGTTCATCTGGTTGGTCCTGCAGATTTTTTTAGAGTCTAGACCTTTTAACAATTTATTTACCTCAGTAACTGAGAACGGGGAAAGAGAAAAGGTGTTGTTTACTGAAGATTGAATTGTAGGAGAGATATGGTTTGTAGAAGTTTGACTTTTAGGGGAAGTGGCTGATTTTCCATTAGTAACTGTGTCAAATAAAGAACTAGAAGCAACAAAATGTTTGTTGAAACAGTTCAGGATCTCGTGCTTATTTGACACAGGAACAGAGTTAACAAGAAGTTGTGATGGGAGGTCAGATGACTGGGAGCTGCCTGAGAGAGATTTGATGGTTTTCCAGTATCTTTTAGGGTAATTTAGATTTTTAGAGGTCTTAGATAAGAAGTAGTTACGTTTTGTGGCTTTGATGGAAGGTGTGCATTTATTCCTCGGCTGTCGAAAACTCAAGAAAATGTCTCAACAAATTTTAAGTGATTTTCATTTTAGTTACATTCCACACATTATTACAACTCCAAAACAATACAAATCTTTATTTGTTTATTTTACAAGACAGATGAGGTCTCAAGTTTATTGCAAACTGAATCTTATCTCCAAAAAAAATACAACATCGACACGTTCAACATGCAAACACACCTTTTAAAAAAGTGTCAGCGTGACAGCATTTCAACCTTTTTGTATTCATTTTTAAGAAGAAATTCTTCTCAAAAATGTATAAAATATTTTTTAAAAATGAAATCATAAAGTATTAGTGTACAAACTCAGTAAAATATATTTTTAAATCCCACAATTCTCTAAATAAAAGCCTGTTTTGCAGCAGGTTTTACAGGGTTTTCCCCATTTTTACACTTGGGGTTCAACAGGCTTGATTTTGATGTGGACTCCATTGAGTGAGCGAAGAATCAACCTCGGAATCATCTTGGGTTTAAAATCGGGGTCCTCTATCAGACGGTATCGCTTTAGTGTCAGAGCTGCCATCACCTTCATCTCATTCATAGCAAAATTCTGACCGATGCAGTTTCTAAGACAAAAAAAACAACAACATAAGAATCATAAAGAGATAACTAAACATTCTGCAGAGCAAAATGAGAGAAAAGCAACCTGTAAAAGTGGAATATGCATTTTCAAACTCGGAAAAGATTAGCGTAAGGGCCGTATGATAAATCACTGTTCAGTGAGACAGGTTGGTGTTTACAAACCTGACCTTCTCTCTACTATAATCTAGGCCAAAAACACCTTGAAGCTTCTTTTATTGAGTTAGTAAAAGTAGGTTCTAAGTTACACATTCACACACTGCAGACATATCACACAGATGAGCAGGCAATGATTAGTAATAAACTGATAACATCATTCAAGCAGTCACGTAGCAAAAGCTGTTTTCAAACCTTGGCCCAGCTGAGAAAGGCACAAAGGCGTGCGGTGACCTCTTTGAGATATTTTCTGGGAGGAAACGCAGAGGGTCAAAAACCTGTCACAACACAGAATGTAATAAATGTCTGCGAGTAGATAAACAAGTAAATAAACCAGTTTTTGAGTGTGCATTTGAGTAGCTGCTGGCTAGCTGTGCAACACGACCCTCTAGATTCTCATATACAATTTTATGTTGTTTTTTTAATCATCAATAATTCTAGTAATAATGTCCAACATGTAATAATTTGTGCAGAAAATAAAATCTGAATGTCTCACATCAGGGTTCTCCCAGACAACCGGGTTTCTGTGCATTGAAAACACGCTCACTCCAACAAGGAAACCTACAAATCAGAAAAAACAAAGTCGTATTAGGTGAGGGGGTTCTGTATGTTCTGTGTTTTTCTTTTCCTCACGTTCTGCTCCCGTGCACACCTGCCCTGAATGCCAATCACCCCAGGTGTTTCCCACTCAGTCTCATTAATGTCTGTATATATGTAGTCTGTTCCGGCAGACTTTTTCCCGCCTTTATCTGGTCGAAGAAACTGTTGTGCATCACTTTTTTCAAATTCAAAATTAAATCCATACAATTAACAACTTGTTTTCTTCTGTCTCATATTAATTTCACAGAGTATGCACCTCACAGCAAACATAAGGAGTGGTAAAAGAAAAGCTACGAATTGCATTTTAAGCGTGCTACTTTTAAAATGGACTGTACTTATACTGTATAGTGTCTTTCTATCTTATCCAGATACTCAAAGCTCTTTACAACACAATCTGTGTCCTCAGTTGCCCATTCATACAGCATTCTACTATATCTGTACAAAGAGACTAATCAATGCTTTAGATCACATTCATACAGCAATGAGGGGTTCAGTGTCTTGCCTAGGGACACTTGGGCACGTGGCTGCTGGTAGAATCGAACCACCAGCTCTCGCATTTGAGGACGACTGCTCTAACCACTCAGCCACAGCCATCACTTTTGAAGTTGACTTAAAAAGAGAAAACTGGTATAGTGGCTTTATCTTCCCTGTAAAAACAGCGTCAACAAACACATTCACTCTCTATAATCACAGACAAATATCACTGACCTGCAGGAAGAGTTCTTCCATCACAAAAGGTGATTGGTTTGGTGAGCTTCCTGGATATTCCAGGGACAGGAGGATAAAGACGAAGGGCTTCTTTTATACACATTGTGGTGTATGGTATTTTATTAAGATCCTCCCTTAATGTAGCACAAAGACATAGCATTAGTATTCAAGAGACAATAAAGGGTATTAGCTGATCTAAAACCATAATTGTTGCACACATGGACTGCACAGTATAACAATTTATCATCATCAGAATATCAATAATGCAAGGGATTGCAATACAACATAAGCCATTATATTTCAAGTGTCATGCATTCATGTTCTACTGCTAATAATAAACATGTTTAACCCAACAGACACTCACTGGCCTTAATGTTCACACCTGGGTTAGAGAATAAAGAGAGGAGTGGGAAAAATGTGGGTTTATTGCTTCTGATCTCATCATGGCATGATTAAGTAAAGACCTAAAATTAAGTAAAGACCTCAAGTAATGTAGGTCCGTTCATAGCTGACACATCCTTACAGTTCTATGCAGACGACACAGTTGTTTATTGTCGTGCTTAAACAGTTGCTAAGGTTTTCCAGCTTTTACAGTTTGCATTCAACATCATCCAGTCAGACTTGTTCCATCTCAAACTGGTGCTAAATGCTGATAACATCAAAGAGATGTCGTTTTCAAACAGGAAGTCGGTACCAGCAGTCCTCCCTCCTATCTTACCTACAAGTGGTGTTCCTATTGAGTTTGTGAATTCTTACAAATAATTGGGACTCTTGGTCAATGCACATCTCTCTTTAAAGCCTCACGTCAAAAACTTGATAAAGAAGCTGAAATTATAATTGGGTTTCTTTTTCAGAAATAGACCTTGCATAACTCTTAATGCCAGGAAACACCTTGTAGCTGCTACTTTCAAGGATCCAGGTGACTTTATTGTCATTCGCATCACATGTGGTACATGAGGTGGAACAAAATTGTGTACTTATGGTCCCAGTTACACCAGTTACTTTCCTTCCCTCCAGTGACCTATAGTGACATTATTTATATGAATGCTCCTGCAAGCACCCTGCAGATGTTGGATGCTGTCTATCATGGTGCACTAAGATTCATAACTGGCTGTAACTACCGTACCCATCACTGCATCCTGTATTCACTGGTTAACTGGTCATCATTAACTTCATGCAGAATCTCTCACTGGTACATTTTCATCTTTAAATCACTTCTTGGTCTGTTGCCTTCATATAGCTCCTCCTACATTTCATGTCGTCCATGCAGCTACAGCGTGCACTCTCAAGACATCATTACCTGCAGCGTCCCCTCAGTGCGGACTGAACTCGGCAAAAAAGACCTTCTCTTACTCCACTCCTGTGTCCTGGAACATCTTGCAAAAAGATCTGAAGCTCTTGACCTTGACCTCTCTAAAGGATTTTAAACAATTATTAAGTTCATGGCAAAACCCACCGCAGACATGTTCCTGTTTTTAGTTTTTTTACCCCGTTTCATAATGTTTTATTTTTTTCACATCACTATTTTTATTTACTTTTTTATTTTGTTTTATATCACTGTTTATATATTTTTTATTTTATATGCATTTTATGGCTGTTTATTGTTGTGTGGCTCTTATCTGTGATTTTGTTTAAAACAGGTCTCTCTTGAAAATGAGTCCTCGTGACTCAGTGTGACTAACCTGTATAAATAAAGGTTGAATGAAAAAAAATTAAACAATATTATCGCACAACATAAGTTTTTATAACATCATGAAGCCTGGTTGCACGATTGCAATCCCATGCTTATAAATAATTTTATTTTCATTGCATTAGCCTACCACTCCATGGTGTCTTTACCATCCAGGACCTTAAGGACTTCCTCCCTGCAAAGCTCCTGGTGCTCTGGGTGGCAGGCCAGACAGTAGAGGAGGAACGAGATGCCGCTGGCTGTGGTGTCGTGCCCCTCAAACATGAAGGTGTCCACCTCTGCTCGGATATCTTCGTCTGTCAGACCCTGCTGGTTTTCATCCTGATGTGTGAAATGGAAAACTGAGATAAATGTAGTCTGTAAAAGTGCAACACATGTTGTTAAAGATTAAAGAAACTTTATACACTATAACAAAAGAGGCACTAAATGTACAAAACACCTGACTGGATTTCAGATTTGACCGTTAAAGTGACAAAAGTTTCTGTGTTAACTTGTCATAAACTATTGAACACACACACACACACACATGCAAATAAACTTGAAATTGACTAATGTAGCTGTTATAATAAAATCAAGCCATTGTTTTTATTTTATGTTGAGGTTTTGGATTTTCTGTAGGGAAGGTACTTTAATTTGTAGATTAGTTAACCTGCTTCTTTTCACTACTATTAAAATTCAGGTGGAAGACAGCCACCGTGACATTATTATTTTTGTAAGTATTTTGGATGAAGATGCTCAGGAAGGTTAAAAAGACCAGAAAGTTAGGACAGTAGACATTTTCCAGCTTTGTAAAAATCATTTATATTCAAATAGTTAAAAGTTTTTTGCTTTCAGATTGCTGCTTAGTGGACACAAAGCCTGGACGCTGCCATTGTTTTGTTCACCATTAACATGCAGAGCGCAGCTACGGAGGTTACTGGAATTCACTTTATGCTTGCTTTAGTATTATGACTTATTATTTCCTGATATCTTATCTGTTGTCAAGCTCATGCACTTCTTTATCTTTGTTTATGTTATTTCAGACTTCTTCTTTTTTTTTTACTAGTTTGCTTTAATTTATTTCTCATTTCCTTCAGAGTTTGGCACAACACTTGGGGTGTTTCTTTTGCAATGCTCCTTTCTATCCATCCATCCATTTTCTTTACCCGTTTATTCCATTTTGGGTCACGGGGGTCGCTGGTGCCCATGTCCAGCAATCACTGTGCGAGGGGCGGGGTACACCCTGGACGGGTCGCAAGTCCATCACAGGGCCACATAGAGACAAACAAGACAAACAACCATTCACTCTCTCACTCACACCTAGGGACAATTTTTAGAGTTACCAATCAGCCTAACATGCATGTTTTTGGTCTGTGGGAGGAAACCGGAGTACCCGGAGAAAACCCACGCATGCACGGAGAGAACATGCAAACTCCACCCAGAAGGTCCCTGGACTGGGGTTTGAACCAGGGACCTGTTCGCTGAGAGGCAGCAGCTCTACCAGTTGCGCCACCGTGCTGCCCCTGCTCCTTTTTAGACTTTTGAAATTTTATTTTCAGTGTTGCCGTTTAGAACAAACACATTTTCACTCAAGACTTGTCCGTTTGTGGCATTGTCTTTACACAAAGCAAATAATCAATGCAATCTTGTGAAATCTTGGAACTGATATCACATAACTTACCCTCGCAAAGAGAAGGATGTCCAGAAAATCCAAGTATCTCTTGGCCTGTATGCGACCGAGCTCAGTCTCTTCCTTCAGTGCTTCTTTTCGATTTCTTACAACTTCCGCTTTAATGTAAAAAAATATATATAAACATTAATAATAATAATAATAATAATAATAATAATAATAATAATAATAATAATAATAATA